CCCGTGGTATCATACTTGTATATTTCAGATATGTTATGATATCCTGCTTTTGTATCTGGGCCCGGCATGGCCAGGTGGTTAGGGCGCTCAACTCGCAATTTGAGGGTCGCGTTCCAACAAACATGCTCGCCCTTTCAGCCGTGGGGGCGTTATAATATTACGGTCAATCCCACTATTCGTTGGTAAAAGAGTAGCCCAAACGTTGGCGGTGGGTGGTGATGACTAACTGCCATCCCTCTAGTCTTACACTCCTAAATTAGGGACGGATAGCGCAGATAGCCCTCGTGTAGCTTTTCGCGAAATTCAAAACAAACCAAACAAACAAACTGTTGTATCTTATATCCTTGTGTGTTACTAATGTTTTTGATTTAAGTTTATATATTTGTGTATCGCCATAGTAACCCTTTATTGGAATTAATATATGTTTGGTAGTATGACGACATAATACAAATATTAAACTGTCTGCGTAATGAAAGTTTTGAACAAACTGCGCTAATTAGTTTTATCAACACTCTTTAAAATATTCTCTGTTTTGTTTTTTATACTATACCACCTGTTTATATTTTATTTCCTATCACGTGATATTACGGTAGCTGGAAATAGTTACGATCATCTTTTGTAAAGTTTGATTTTTTAATGAAATTCAACTACATATTTACAAAGAGTATAAGACTTTTGATAAAAAGTGAAAGGATATACATACTGCCACGTGGAAGTTAAGGTAAAATAAATATACACAAATACTTTTAGTTTACATTCATAAAAGCTAATCACAGAATATTTACGAATCAAATAAAATCAATCTTTTGTTGTATTTTTGATTTTGCTCGTTTAAAGAAAAAGGTTAAATAATTAACACTACTCTAAAAAAAATGTTGTGTTTTTTTTACTGTAGGCAGCCATATTAGAAAAGCCACGAGACCTGTACGTGTGTGGAGCTTCGCTATTGGATGAACAGTGGGTATTAACAGCTGCTCATTGTGTGGATGACTAGTGAGTATATTACACAGAGTATCAACTAGTATCACATAAGAAGGCCCGCATTGGC